ACGGATTTTTCTTATCTTAGTCTTAAAATATTCGTAGAGCTTCAGGGAAGGTGAGAAAATTTTAAAAATCGCGAAAAATTGGCAAAAAAGAAAAAATATTATGAAAAAAATATTATGAAAAACAATATTTGAAAAGAAAAATATTCAATTGTCAAATATTGAAAATTTTCAAAATATTTTATTTTATTCAATTGGCATTGTAACGAAACTTTTTTTCTGAGAATGCAAAACAATAATTGAGATGAATTCGCGATCATTGTATGTACACGTTTTCCATAAAATTCACCTACATTTTGGAACAAATGCAAGGATGAAAATCTGAAGATTCAGAAAGAGTTCTGATTCTAAGACATGTGCCCTAGATTATTCTTCTTGAAAATAATATTAATAGGAACATAGGAACATGTTGTTATTGAAGTACCTAAAATGTACCATTATATGGTGGTTATATGCCTAATCGTTGGTCGATGTCTTTAATCGCATACGTGTATCACAGAGAAAGGTAAGTTCATATTGAAAGAGAACAACTATAAAAAGCATTTCTTATAACAAAGAGTCTCATGATGTTACCTCAATATGTCAACTACCGATATATTTAATACCATGAAAAATCGTTGTTAAGATCGAACTTTTGTACTTCCTAATATGTAGATTCCTTATATCGGCCGGGACATTTATATGGGGACTATGTTACACAGTATGTGTAGTAGATTGGAAAACGGGGGGTAAGAACTTCAACATACTGAAAATTAAACGGGAAATATGTATGGCTTCTTTTTATTGCATTAAGCCAAATCCATGATCCATTCCGTCAAATTCTTTACAAAACCGAAAATGGTGCGGGACCCGCACCATTTCTTGGTCGTGAATAGAAATGTTTCCGCAAATGTGTTTTACCCTTTCAATATCACGGAATGATATATGATATGAATGATATACGATACTACAATGGGTATGGATATATACTAATACCACATGAGAAAATACCGAACAATAAGAGTATATCATTATATGCATATCATTATATGGGGCTACCCGGACCAATTTGCACCAATATTGATAATTTTTTGTAAACAGGTTTTCTTCATCCAAAATAAAACATTACAGCTCTTCGGCTGAAGCACTCCCTAAAATACCGAACTCCTTAAAGTACCGACTATTGTGGGCACCTCAAAGATTTAACCAATATTGACAATTTCAGTACGATTCATTCTACCAAATATACAACCAAACGTGCCCAAATCCCCCACAGTATCGAAAAAGGTGGATTACTATTACATGGGGGATATTTGAAAGCTTGGGCGAACATAACATTGCAGCCAAACACCGAATATTAAGGGATGCCGTTAGATGGGGATATCCGAATACTTGAGTCAATATGGAAAATTCTAATTAGGGAGAATTTCTGCCCAATAAGTATCCCTAATATTAGATTTGGGAAAAAGAAATCCATTATACCGGTGGAACGATCGAATTTTACAGGCATGTCGTAACATCATCCAGGAGCTAAAAATTAAACCATTCACACAAAGCTGGATTCAAAAAGAAGCTCAATGGTTGGGTGCCTCACCAATTAACAGAAAAAATGAAATGGATCGAATTTCCATCTGCGAAGTCTTGACCAAACGGAATGAGATACTCTTATTTTTAAAAACGGATGGTAACTGGAAATGAGAAATGGATCACATACGATAACCCAATGCAAAAACGATCGTGGTCAAAGAGCGGTGAAGCACCTCAAACGGTGACCAAACCAGGACTAACGACCAGGAAGGTTCTGCTATGCATTTGGTGGGACTGGAATGGGATTATTTATTATGAGTTGCTTTCATATAGCCAAACGCTAAATTCTGATCTCTACTGCCAACAACTGTACCGTTTGAAGATAGCAATTGGCCAGAATTGGCCAACAGGGGAGGTGTCGTGTTTCACCAGTAGGCCTATTCTGTAGCTTTTAACAACATTCGATATTGTTTAAATTTCTTTTGTTATTGTAAAAACAATAAAACTAACAAATGAAATTGTTGTAAAATAGACAATATCGAATGTTGTTAAAAAGTTACAGAATACAGGGGCAGGACAACGCTAGGCCATCTTATGAGTAGTACAAATGTATGTGCAAATATAAAATGTATATCTTAAATCGTGGAGGGAACAACAAAACTCACTCATAAACATCAAATTCAGTTTTGTAATGTTACCCTATGTGTGCTATGATAATTACCAAGATGTTACAAAAATATATACACTTCACCTTATGATGGAGGGTATAAAACCAACCTAAAATGCCGAAAATTATACATCAACAATATTGTTAGGCAAGACAACGTTTGCCGGGCCCTCTAGTATATATATAAATATTGTTTTATATTTTCTAAATTCAAATGTCACATATAAAAATTTGAAGAATTTTTTTTTTGAGTTTCCCCAAATTTGTTTCTTGTCCTGCTGCATATATAAAAACTAGACAATTTTTTACATTTCATTCATCATTTTCAATTTTACTAAAAAAGTTTGGAAATTTTATAAATATTTTCAAGCTGTCAAAATTAATTTATTTTCTACAAATTCTGTCAATTGTTAGCGATGGGACAAATTTCTTGGTAATTCAGAGGGTGAATCGAATTGAACAATGTATAAAAGTCGGTGTTCGCTCAGAAAATTTTGTATAGTTCCCCATACAATTACTTCATAATTAAGGGTCGAACAACGAATGAGAGAGCGAACAACGCTCGTCTGTACATGGCATTACTTATAAATTCAAATTTCGTGCAAATGGAAGAATATATAGGGACTTTGGTGCACCATTTACATAAAATCGGACGAAAATAAATATGGGAGCTATATCTAAATCTGAACCGATTTTCACGAAATTTAAAGCACATCGTTCTAGATTTAATTCAGAACGCAATGCCAAATTTCGTACAAATCGAAGGATATATAGGGGCTTTGGTGCACTATTTACCTAAAATCGGACGAAAATATATATGGGAGCTATATCTAAATCTGAACTGATTTTCACGAAATTTAACACACATCGTTCTAGGCTTAATTTAGAATGCTATGACAAATTTCGTAGAAATCGAAGGACTTTGGTGCACCATTTACATAAAATCGGATGAAAATATATATGGGAGCTATATTTAAATCTGAACCGATTTTCACAAAATTTAACACATATCGTTTTAGACGTAATTCAGTACGCTGTGCCAAATTTCGAGTAAATCGAAGGTTTTTTAGGGACTTTGGCGCACTATTTAATAAAACCGGACGAAAATATATATGGGAGCTATATCTAAATCTGAACCGATTTTCAGGAAATTTAACACACGTCATTCTAATCTTAGTTCAGAATGATATTCCAAATTTCGTGCAAATCGAAGGATATATAGGGATATGTGGTGCACCATTTACAAAAAATCGGTGAGCTGTGCCAAATTTCATCCAAATCGGATCACAAATGCGACCTGTACTTCGTTAACAAAAATACAAGGACGGACATGCATAAAACGACTTAAGAAGTGATTCTATGCATATTCTCAAAAGGAACCACGTGTCTATCTCGTTTCTTTTTGCCTGTTACAAACATTTGCACAAAGACATAATACCCTGTACCACAGTGTGGTGAAGGTATAAACATAGCAAATTCAGCACAGGTAAATTAAAAAATTGTTAATATACCATAGAATTTTGCAAAGCAGTTAAAAAATTGAGCACAGCTAAATTGACAAAAAAAGTACATAATAATGTTTATATTCTACGAAAATATGAATTTTGCACAGCTGAATGAAGAAATACATTTATTGACACTAAAAATGCATATTTGGAAGACATATTATTGTTCCTATGAATGTTGTAATGACATATTTAGAAAATATAACATTCCAAAAATGCACACCCTTTACAACAAATTGTGCATTGTTTTGAACTCTTAAAGCAAATGCAAAAAACATAACTTCCACTGACGTCTTGGAGTCTTTTCTTGCATTTGATGGTGTCAGTTGTAGTTGTGCCATACAAATGAGTGGCTAAAAAACTATTATTATTAGCTTGTTATTTGTCAGAGTGTCATAGCTGCTAGTAGTGTTGTTAGCTATGTTTATCATCTTGTAGCAGTTACCTATAGACTAGTCGTTTTTTTTTTGTGGTTGTAACTGAACAATTGTTTAAAGCTTTTATTTTTCATATTTCCATATCAATATATCTGTGGCAGTTGTTATTGCTGCTGTTGTTGTTGTTCGATTTTTCTCATTGTGTTATTTGTTGTAAAACACTTTAAGGCAATCACGTTTTAAACATTATTTTAATTGTTTATTAATTTTATGCTTTATGGCGCGACCTGGCTATGATCTTTTTCTCATGTTTTTCATCTTTTTCGTTTTACATATTAATTTATATGTATGTAATTTAGTTTGTTGTTTTTTCTTTAGCGTCATATTTTTAACTATGTTCTATTTTAGAGTATAACACTTAATATGAGTTTAATTAAAACCGTGTTGTTTGTTGTTTTTTTTTTTATAAAATTAAATTGTAAGAGGTTAAAGTAGTGTTATTAATTATGTTCTATAACAATAAGGTATCATAACCCAAATAAAGGATGAAAATTGAAGGGGAGCGGATTGCATTGCCCGTTTGGTATCAAGGTTTAACATAATTGGTCTGTTCCCGTACTGTAAGAATCTACCAATTTCTACTATTTTTAAGATATCATTGAGGAAGTAAACAATTGTACATTCTTGCAGGTTTTGAAACAGACATAATATTCCAATACTTTATCTCATTAAAATAAAAAATAGATTATTTTTAGCATTTAACTTTTTCCACAAAGTTTTCTTTATTTAAAAAAATAATAAATATACTATTATTGTATAATTTTTTTTCTTTCCAATTCTTACAGTCAATAAAGTGAAACATAATGCCTGTGAATTTATAACAATTCCATACACACAAAAAACTAACTACGCTAACAATCCACATTCCAATACACATTCGACCAACAATTATGTGCTCATTAATTTCCTTTTTCTTTCCAATTTCATTTCACGCTTTAAGGCCTTCTGTTCCAACTCCTCAGCATGTTCGGCAAACAGAGAACGCATTACCGGATACATTAAATGGAAATTGTGCAAATCATCCAATGATATTTGCATATTATCAAAGGCTATCGAAACATTCGACATTGTACAGCTATTATTCTCGTCCACCGATAAACGTGGCAACTTGGCATAACGTTGAGAGAAATGTGTTAGGATAATATGTTTGGCATTCATTGCCTGGCCCTGTTGTATGGCTTGAGATATTGTGCTGTGCATTTTAATTTTTGCCTCATCTGCCAAATCATCTTCCATGGTGGCTTCGTGTATGAGTATTGTAGAATTTAGACCCAAATCTACAAGATCTTTACAGGGCATTGAATCACCACTATAGGTCACAGTTATGGGTTCTTCTTGCTGCGTGCCATCAACGGGAGTAATACTTAGCTTAACACCAAATGAATGTGGACAATGTTTGACCATACAGGTTTGTATAGCATCAATTCCCAAATCTTGATGCGTTTCTTTCAGATTCATTGGCTCATCCAACATATCAGCATTGCCAATCAGCTCATAAGCATCTTTTATATTGTCTATACAATTTTGATAGAAATTTAACCAGGGTTCAATTTGTTTTGGTGCCATTACCAAAACTTTCTTTAGATGCTCTTTCAATTCACCTGATAACTTTATGCGTTCGGTTAGCAAACCAATTAAGCCAATATGATGATCGGCATGTAAATGTGAAACATAAATAATTTTTAAATTTCGTATAATATCCTTTGCTTTGGTCATGCCAAACATTCGTTGTATCTGACCCAGGGTGCCTTCACCGCAATCCAAGAGGACATAACAATTTTCATGAGATTGTACCAGTATGGAACTAACATTACGTGTCTTGTTAGGTATGCAGGATCCAGTACCAAGGAATGTTATAATGGGATATTTTGCATTTGGACTTTGAGCAGAGGAGGATGTTGCTTTCATATCAACTTTAAGTTTTTCCAACATACCAGGGAAATCGGGTAAAATTTGAGTTTCATTAATATATTCACTGGGTTGTAGTTTGGCTTCAGCTGTTCGATCCAAACCTGAAAGGAAGAAAACATATGTCCTTGTAAAAAATTTGATTTAAAATGGTATTATTGTGTTCAATAGTTTTTTTTATTGAAATTTTGTAATTCTTTGAGACCTTTTGTTAAGGTTCCAGATATACATAAATTTTGCACAACGCACTGAAGTTAGGATAGACTAACCTGTGCCATGTTTTATTGAAATCAGTTCAGATTTAGATATAGCTCCAATATATATGTTTGTCCGATTTTTCGCAAATGGTGCACCAAAGAGTCAAATTTAGGTCGATTGACACCAAATTTTGCACAATGCACTGAAGTTAGGATAAACTAACGTGTGCCAGATTTAGACATAGCTCTCATATATATGTTCGTCCGATTTTTGGCAAATGGTGCACCAAAGAGTCAAATTTTGGCCGATTGGGATGCAATTTTGGAGAACGTACCAGCCGAAAAAGTGGACCGATATTGATAATTTTTAGCGGAGTTTGGTACGCGGTCAGATAAAGCTCATTTTCGGACCTGCAGACAAGAGACAACTTTATGCAAAATTTTGGCGAAGACGGAGAATTTTACGCTGATCAAGAATATATATACTTTATACAAAAATACCCGGTTATGGATCGTTGGGTTAAGTCGGTTCACATATAGACACAGATCAGATATTTAACTTAGTAGAATTTCATGTCAATGGTCCTTCAAAAATTGAAGGCCTGTAAGGATGTATTTCTTGAATATAGCCAAAGTGATAAAGTATATCACATAGTTGGCCCGGTCCGACTTTACTATTTTCTTTACTGGTTTTCTATGGGCGTTGACACATATTTGTATTTGCAAAAAATGAAGAAACTACGCTTGTTGTTGTTATAACAGCCATATTGCTTTTACACAATGGACTGACCGTTGGCCGAGTACAAGTTTTACCTGTCGTGGAAACGTGGTGTATTCTCTCGGGAACCAGAGCTTAAATCTGGTTAGTTTACCTTGATGTATTCCTCAGTGTTTTTAATTTTAAGTCCAAGTAAAAAATTTACTTCTTTCTGTTATGTTTTAAATTCATCTTCTGGATCATTTAAAAGTTCCTTTAACTCATACCTAACCGTGACTGTTAGGAGTCTATCATCAACATACAATGCTATAATTAAGTTATTTCAATTTCTTTCTCTAATGTATAAACATGGATCCGTCATACTTGCATTCAAACCTAATTTTCAAAATAACTTGGCAGCATCTTGGGTCTTTTTAGTGCCATCGTTAAACCCTTCAGTTTGTTCCATATAAACAACTTCCAGTTCTCCATATAGAAAAACTGTAGAAACATCGAACTGCAGCATATGTAAATTTTCTATTGCAGCAGCTCTTATTATTGATATTTTAGCGACTGGGCTGAATGTTTGATCATAGGATCCAAGTATTCTTTCCTTTCAATGATTTAATCTCACTTTCCATTGCTGAAATCCCTTTTTTCTGTCATTGGAATTTATTGCTTCCTTGTATGATAGTGTCGTTGAAACATAAGTTTCTATTCCTTGAGCTATTAAGGCATTATATTTTGAATTTGAGATGAGTGTCTGATATCTAATTGGCTTTTCTTACAAATTTTTGGAAGTTTTGGGCTTTGTCCGATTTCGATTGCATCAAAATTACTTTAATTTTCTGTAATGTTTTCCAACACTTCTGCACATCTTCATATTTATTAGCATGTTCGGACGTGATATCAGTAATTTCTTCATGATTTTGGCCTGCCATTGATATATTAATATTTAAGTCATCGGAATACTAAAGCTTCTTCTCATGGCTTTTAATCGTAGGCCTTTTTCTTTAAATTTTACTTCTCTTGAAACTTAACAGTACGAGTTTCTGTTATATAAACCCTATTCCTTGGGCTATTAAGACATAGTTTTTATATATTGAATTTGAGATGAATGTCCGATTTCTAAGCCGCTTTGGTATTGGCTCTATTTTCCTCTGTATGGGAATCTATAAATAGCTTTAAAAGACACTCATCACTAACAAATCCCTGGAAGTTTTCTGCTAAAGTTATAACATCTCCGATTTTTATTACATAAATCATTAATTTCATTTTCTGTATTGTTTTCCAACACTTCATGTTCGGACGAGGTATCAGTAATTTCTTTAGGATTTTGACCTGTCATTATTACATTAATGTTTAAGTCATCGGAATTCTGAAGCTTCTTCTCATGCCTTTTAGTCGTAGGCTGTGAATCCCCTTTGGAATTTATTTGAAATTCATTTTTGGAAGATTTGTTTTTTTTTTTCTTAAAATTTTACAACTCTTGAAATCTGGATAGGTTGAGTTTCTGGTATATAAAACCTATAGCTTTCATCTCAGTCATACTTTTTTGACCCTTCTTGTCCATTTTGCTACGGATGTGTACATAATATTATTTTTGGTTTCTTCCCAAGGCATAGCCCTTACCGACATATACCTTGACTTTGATGTTCTACTAAAAAATTGAATTAAATTGATGTTTAAATGCATCTTTTATCTACATCTACAAAGAACGTCACCATTTAAACGTTACAATATCGATTGTCGATACAGTTTGTCTTTGTTTAGTTCATGGACATTTGTACGAGTTTATCGGCTTTTTGTATTTTCTCTTCACAAATTGTGGTTAGTTTTCAGTGCCCATTGCTTTCTCGTTTAAAGCACCACGTCCATTCTGAGTGATTAGTAATTATTTTAGATTATTTTTAACCTGGCCATTCATTGCATTTCGCATAGCTATTAGCAACATTCGAAATTCCTCACTTACCCTTCCTTGGCCTCAAATGATAAACACTCATTGTATTCAAATCATTTAACCTCTGCTCGAATCCAGAACATTCAGAATATCTAGAAATGGGTTCCATTTCATTAACAGCATCCCCATCCTCCACATCATCTAGCTTGGTTTTCTTCATTTTACTACTTAGGCCACCCAAAAGATTTGTTGCCTCCGCCAAAATCGGAAAAACTTTGGGATTTAATTGATTCAGCTGATATTGTATGCGATGGGCGGCTATATAACCCGAAAAGGTATTCTGTGATGCATTCAAGAAGATGTGTTGTGTCGAGGGTGCAAACTTTTCCAAAAATGTTTTGTAAACATTATTCTCCAATACTTCTGCAGGGGTAAAGTGTACCACCAAAGCCAATTCAGGGGTATTGTCTGGATTAATGCGGGCATTGACCAACAAATCGTGATGTTTTTCTAAATTTTCCAAAAATTCCACTGAGGGTATATCGAGAAAGATAAATGACAATGGATTCTCATTTGGTTCACTGACATCTGCAGATTTGACCACAGTGCCATTTTCCAAGGTGACATCAATGCCATTTTTCAAAAGACCCAAGAGAGGGCCTGGCGGCACACCATGTTCAACACATTTTTCGAGATTTAATGGACCAGGGCGGGGTTTTAAGGTACATATGTAGGAGATGACCACAGATTCTTGGTTATTGATTTCTGTAACATCGCCATTTGCCTTTGCCCTATATAATGGCAAACATTTGACATTCATTACAGAATCCTCGAAATCTTGTGACACTGTACAGTCGACAGTTTTAAGCTGAAGAAAATAGAAAATTAATAACATTAAATAATTCCAGAATTGAATATCCCACTAACCTGTAAACTTTTCAATACCACAAACTTCTTCATGGACATCAGAATATTATCGATATATGGTGGACCATGTAAGGACAGCTCTTTGACACCAGCATCCTGCACTGTTAACGCCAAACCAGGTATACCTCCAATTGTGGGCCATGTGTTGCGTGTAACAAATATCTGTTCCAGTCGTGCCAATTTAGTTTTATGTTCATGGGCCAAACGTTGTGTACCCTCACCACAATTGAACAGATAGCGCGATTGATCGGTAAACAAATAAACCGAGGCGGGTGAACCATTCGCACCGCCACCTAAAATTTGTAAAGTTACAGTCCCAGGGATGTAGGGAACAGCTTTCTTCTTGGCTGCCTGTTGCTGACGTTCCTTTCTCAAAACAATTGGCTTATCACCTTTTTGTGGTTTGTTCTTTCCCATTTGCGGTGACTGCTGTTGCTGCTGATTTTCTGCCGCACTCATGGCTTTGCCGGCTGTAGCACCACCTCCTTTCGAATTGATGAGTAATTCTTTTAGATGATCTTTGCTTTTGCCACGTATCGCGTTCCGTAAAGCTGTCAGCAACATTCGTGTATCCTTTTTTGCGACACAATAGCCTCACTCTACCTCCTCGAAAATTATGAAATTGGTCTGGTCGAACTGGGACTACACGTGAAGCGGCTGGTTCGTTTGTTCAACAACAACAAAATAAATTACCAAAGCAAAGCAACCGCACGACGAACCGAATACTCTGCAATGTTACGAAAATGGGGCAAGGCATAGCGACCGCTTAGTTGATTTGTTATGAATGCAGGAAGAGGCAACGAGTCGTAACAGCTGTTGTGTGATTCACATGTGCAAGTAGATACAATAGCAGGGTACACACTTTCGAGAGGTTTAAACAGACGACATTTAGTAATGTTTTATATATAAAGGCCTATATTTTATCAAAATATATTTTTTTTATTTGAATTTAAGTATACAACTTTAGTATACCCTTACAAAAAAGGCGAAATGGATTTTTATTCAAAAATAAATTTGTAAAAATATGAAATATATATTTCAAATCTTATACGAATTTCGGTACAAATACAGAGTTGTACTTTTGTATGAATTCGCTTTTTGGATAACCTGATATTTCGGCCATGGTACAATTTTTTTACAAAATATCATGTAAGCTGACAGACTTATTACTTAATATTAGGTTAGAGAAAAAGAAATCCATTATTATTACATGAACTATAGGACTTTATTTAGCATTCTTCGGAATGTCCGATTTGGGCCAAATATGCACCGTTTTGTTGTATGATTTGTTGCCATTTTAAAGGTAACTTTATAATGCCTCTCTCATAGAAGTCCTGCTCTCTATTTGCAAAAAACTATAGTAGTCGATTTTCACAATCCTCCCAATTTTTTATCATTAAAGAAATTTAGCAATGCAAGAAAAAGATGATAACCGCTTGGTGCCAAGTAAGGACTATATGGCACATGCATTAAAACTTCCCAGCCAAGCTCCCGAAGTTACTGGCGAGCCACTGAATATGTGTGTGGAACACGACACCTCTCCTGTTGGCCAATTCTGGCTCTTTCTAGTCAATTGTAAATGGTTTAAAACAGTTTTATGGTAGATTTTTAGCTCTTGGGCGGTGTTATGACTGCTAACATGATGGTCAACTTCGATCATTTCTCCGATTTTATCGACATTTTCGACGACCGGCCTACCTTCGCAGGGTGCATTCTTAACATCAAAAATTCCTAAACGGAATCTTCGAAACCAAAATTGCACATAATTGGCTGTTACAGTATCGGAACCATAAACACCATTCACAATTTTAGCCGCTTGGCTTGCATTTTCGCCTTTGTCAAAGAAAAACTGTAATATGTACCGAATTTTCTCCTTTCTCCATTGAGCTCATTATAGGTACCTAATATGGGGGACAGCAGAAGTTTGTAGAGTGTATAGTTGTTGGTTATTTTAGTCATGTCACGGCAAAAGTACACGTTAATGTTCTTTATGGATGTGAGTGATCTAATCCTGCAGTGACCCGTTATCTACAGTGATTTTTATCTCCCTTTCTATGAGACAAAATCTAAGTAGTTCTACGGAGCGAGAACTCAGGACATATAGTTTTAGAAAACTTGCATGCAAGTTCCGCTAATCATCTATTGCCGGCTTTCTCTCGTCTCGTCAGCTATTTCATTCCCAACTACAGTGATTTTTATCTCCCTTTCTATGAGACAAAATCGAAGTAGTTCTACGGAGCGAGAACTCGGGACATATAGTTTTAGAAAACTTGCATTCAAGTTCCGCTGATTATCTATTGCAAGCTTTCTCTCGTCTCGTCAGCTATTTCATCCCATCTATCTTAATGGAACCTAACAAAAATTAAAGTTCTGTCGTAGATCATACAGAACACCTTTATAGTCAAGAACGGCTTTTGAATTTATAGTACACAACTTAAGAGTCTATCGATCGGTACTACATTGTCAGCAATAAGTGTTTTGTCTATTTTTTATCTAAAAAATCACAATCTGAAATTATGTTGAGGGTACTTGCATGTCCAAAGTTCAACTACTCCACGTGTCCCTATTCCCTGAGTCTCAGAGTTTTTTGTTTTGTTTATATGATTGTGAAAAGAAATTTTAATAAATGTTAACAAATACTAAACTGTGAATGTCTTTTTTACCATTTTTACCTAATTTGAAATTTCATTGAAAGATGAAGTTATTTTGCGCCATCTTTTAACAGCTTATGTAACTACACAGAAATTATATAACTGCTATTGCTCCATCTATTTTTCGTATTAATTAATAGTTAATTTTAGAAACAACAGATGTCACTATAAACATATTAAAATCGTTTACGTTAAAATAATAATAAATAACAATGAATTTGTATTTAAAATTTCCAAGAACAATAACAAATTTCAACATAAATATTATTATTTGTAGTATTGGACCTTGTAACTTTGCTTTTAAATTTAAAGTGCAAAGAGCGACATCTATTACTGACTTACATCTGGGACCTATTAGTACTAGTACATAACGAACGTTTGTAGTGTAGATGTCTCTATTCCCGGTAAAAGAAATTAGACCAGTTTAATTATCGGTTATCGAATATTTGTAAATCGAACATATTCTAATTGGATTAGTGTGAATTTATCACACAGCGTAATACACCTAAGTCTGTTTTTAAACGGTCTTTTTGTACACGGTTTTGATATAACACGGTTTGAAAATTGAATATTTTTAATTTTTTTAGACGATCTACCGTGTAAAAACAGACTTAGGTGTATTCACCGAAGACCCTATAAAGATTTTTGATCAGAATAAAATTCTATATTGATTTAGCCATGTTCGTATTTTGAAATCACGATATAGCTCGTTTTTAACCCTTTGAACTTTTGCACATAAAGGGTTATCCATTTCGTGGTTTACAAAGTATGGACATTGATGAAAATGAATGGTATATTTTACATTTAGATTCACATATACATCCATATAAAGTCCAGCTCACGCAAAAACTAAAACCATTTGACCATCTACAACGCCATAGATACGTGAAAGGGGCCAATAGGCGGTTTACGGCAATTTTTCGAACAAAATTTTCCGCAGCGATGAAGAACATTACTCACTCGGTTGTCATATGTTTGGTTCTGGGATTCCTCGAGTAATTGAAGAGAGACCATTACATTCTGAAGAAATTACTGTTTGGAGCGTCTTTGGTCCGAAGGTGTGATTGGACATTACTTCTTTAAAAACGACGATGGAACGACTGTCACCGTCACTTCACAGCTTTATGGTTATAACATAACCGACTTTTTTGCCTACTATTGAGGAATATCATTCAGGGAATATGTGGTCTCAAGAAGACGGTGCCACATACCACACAACTCGAGCGACAATGGCGGTTTGCAAAAGACATTTCATGGCCGTGAAATTTCTTGTCGTGGCGATATCAACTGGCCACTAAGATCATGCGATTTGATATCATTTGCCTTATTATGAGGTTACGATAAATACCGTACTTATGCAGATAAACCTTCAATTTAGAGCAATACGTGATAAAAAAAATTACCTCAAAAGATTTTGTATTTCGTCTGTTCCGGGCAGCTACTTACCAGGTTATAAGTGGGCTAATAACTTTCCCGATCCATATTTGGTATTTTGAAAGTTCATCTCACTCAACAACGTTTCTGTTTACTTTTTATTTGGCATTAGCCAAAGGAGCAACTCGGATCATATTCGTATGTCTTTATTTTTTTTTTAATTTTATTGGCATTGACTAAAGGAGCAATTCGGGTCATATTCGTATGTCTTTCTTTAATTACTTCCTTTATTTATTTGAATCCCTCAAATTCCGATCAAGAATTGATTTTATGTTACGTAGCCCTCATATTTTCGGTCCATCAGTATTTGAAAATTCCATAAAATATATTTATTAACAATTTCGGCATGACCGTTAAGCATTACATTCATGCATTCACTTTGCAATGATATCACATTTCCCCCTAGTATTCATCATTCATTAATAACGCCGATGACGTGTTGACGTCTTTCATATAATGCCGATAATAGCTCGAAACTCTACAGGGCATGAGATAAGGTTGGGTTTTTTAAATTAGAACTAGAAGCGTACGAAAAGTAGAAAATATGATACCCTTTGTATTAAGCAAACGGGAAGAGCTAGAACTAACAGAAATTTGCAATGTGGGTCAAGACGCAAAGTTCGAAAAATGTACAAAAGGGTTTTTGGAAATTCGACCTATAAGTGTACGAAAAATACTAAACTTTACTAAAATTAGTTCTATTTCAACATATATAGCTAGAATCTCGAATTTCTATATGGAATCACCATTAAACATGATCCTCAGGATAACAACAGAGTTGGAATTCTCAGCGATCTAGCTGACGTTAATATTCAATGTCAAACTGCTACCGGTATATAGATGTAAAATCGACAAAAATTTTGATTTTTTTATATAAATGTTGTTGTGTTCTGAAATGTGCAATTTTTAGACAATTTTGGCTTTGGTATAATAAACTAAGTACTTAAAGGGCTAAGCAGAATGCTCGCAACCACAAGGAAACGATAACACAAACACATATCGTTTCCTTGTGGTTGTTGTACACGTAACGCGATGGATGGCTCAACGCGAATATTCTGCTTAGCGTGGTTTTATATTTGTCGGGATCGGGATCGGTGTTGAGAGTTTTTCTCTCTTGAGAGAGTAATTAGAGTTGCGCTATTTTTAATTTTGTAGCAGACGTACTTTTTGTTCACAAAAGGTACGAATTGACATAAACGTACCAAAACAAAAATTTATTTTTTTTATTATTCGTGAATACATTTACGCTTAAATTATATCATATGTTATTTATGCAACTAACTGGTATAAATATTGGCCAATATTTCTCCATAATTATAATTTATTATCATTTGAAGTAGAATTTTAGGTACCTTTTCGTACTTTTTTGTTCCTACCTGTGGTAATGTTTTCCAACACAATTCACAATTTACCACTGAGAGAGAGAGAGAAACTCTCAACACCGATCCCGATCCCGACAAATATAAAACCACGCTTAGCCCTTTATTAAGAAAATTGAAAGTCGATCTTGAAAAGTCGACTTTGTGATTTCCTCAAAGATCAAAACAAGGCTCAATAATAAGGTAGTCCGATAAGGCCATATGATTTTACTCGATCTGTCAAATTGTTTTCAATTTTGACTCAATCGTATGAAAATATAAACAAAAAAATTGACAGCTTGGGGCTTTTTTTACAAAATTGCCGATAACGATTGCTTCTTATACTCCATGGATCAAAAAGTCGACTTCGACTTTTCAATACAAAAAGTCGATTAATCGATTAGTCGAAAGTCGATCTATTTATCCCTAGTATGGCTCGGAACTCTGCTACGGAACAAGTGTTGAGAATTTTAATTTTTGTTTAATAAATTATTATTAAAAAAATAACGCATAACGGATTGTTTTTTATTTAATACAACGAAGAAAATGTCATCGCGAAGGTAATACAAAAGAAACAGCGAGAGAAAGTTGCATGTGATGTGAATTGTTAAAAGAATGAAACGAAGAAAAAAAATACAGCCCAGAGTCCCAATGAAATCTTGGGGCAAGAGCACCCCAAAGAAATTTTGTTGTAATGCAAAAAACGACACTGCGAAGAAAAAATCTTTGCAAAAAAGAAACAAAAAATAATATATGTGTGTGTGCAATATGAGAATGGGGAGCTAGTTAGCTGCTACTCCCCTTCCGAGAATTGGGAGATGAGTGATTTTTCAAATAATGCAAATGGAAAATTCTGTGAAAAAAATGTAGTTAAGAAAAAGCCTTTGGTGTTTTCCCCCACGCCCTTATGATTTGCGTTGGGGACTTGCATGTTCACGAACGAATGAAAAATCTGATTAGAACCAACAATTGGACCAACTGACGGCCAAAAATACAATCCATATGTTGCATATTTTAGTTTGCAACGGAAATACTATAAGGATGCTTGGTAGAATTCCTTATCTAGGGTCAATTTGTCCTTCGCTATTTATTGTGTTTTGTTGTTCTTGTTTTTTCGTTTCATCGCTGCTGCAGTCGCCGCTGCTCTGCTTTGTGTCATTATTGTTTTTGTTTTTGGGAATTCGTATACAAATCGTCGTGTGTATTTTTCGTTTCTTGTTGATGACGCTGCAGTCCACCACCTCCACCTCCCCCTTTTTTTGGTTGGTTGAACATTATTTGTTGTGTGAGAGACTTTGTTGTGGATGGAACCCGCATTGTTGTTGTTTTGATTTTTTTCTTCTTCTTTGATTCTAAAACAGTGATGCCAATGTGTGGTGTTTTTCGTAGATATTTTAACGATTTTGGTGATTTTAAGGAATGTTAGGGAAATTGGGTTACATTTAAAAAAGTATAAAAGGTGTTTATTTGGAAGGAAGCGTATATAAAATGCAACTAACGCATTTTTTTATTATTAGGTACCAATAGAACTTAACCTCGAACTGCGAAACATTATTTCAGGTATAATGCAAGTTATCTTGAATTCCCCGACTCGACTTGAATTTTCAGAGCATTAGAGTGTTGCTTTCTGATAATCAGTTTCGATGGAATGCTAGTGTCGGAACGATCAAATTTTCTAAATTCAACATTTTTTCTCCAACAAAATTAGTGGATTTTAATTCTTTTTATCATTCGATCTGAAATTATCAAAGGTTCAAAAAATTGTAAAGGATTGGCAAAATTGATTTAATCCAGATGTCTAAAACTTCTAGGAATGAATTATAATTTTTGTCATCGTACGAACATTATGCCTTTGATCAGAAATTACTAGATTTATATTCCGTTATAGATTCCTATTACATTTCTATGATTTTTAAACACCTTTTGAACAATAAGTTTTTGAATTTCAAAAAGTCATCAGACTCACATATCACCGTTGTTGTCAACAACACAAAACGTTTCTATTTCTAATACGATAATACAAAACAACTGTTCAGCATAATCGTTTCAAACATTGATGATGATTTCTAAAGTCATTAATTAATTTTATTTGTCACAAAACGAAATTCATTGTTTTGTTCAACATAAAACGGTTTCCAAATCATTGTTCATGTTTGTTGTTGTTGCTGCTGCTATTATGCCATTAAAACATTGTTTGAATGACATTTTTAACGATGGTTTCGTATTAATTAGCGGTGAAATTCTAATATTACTTTTAATATAAATATTAGGGTGGGACGTTTCATATTGGAATATGTATTCAATTACCATATTTTTGTTTTTCCGTGAAGTTTTTTGCAGTTTCGATATTTTCGAGTCAATATTAAGGGCTGGTAATGCATCGTTTGAAATGGTTTACTATTAGTAGAGTAACTTCGGGTAATGTGGGCTATGCGGACCACCCCCATATCTAAGAAAACGCTATGTCAATGCTGCCTTAATATATGTTTTCCCAATAAATAAAAACAAACATATTATATACATGTGGACCACTATAAAAAACCGGGACATTTTCATGGGACAAGTTCCAAACATGGCCCCATATTAAAAACATTTCTATAAGGAGGTATTCTATCCTCTGAAAACTCGATATGCGAAATTACAGCTGCTTCGGTTGGATATTATAGCTAGGGCCTTCAATATACCGCAAATGGGGCGGTCCGCCTAAATGGGGGCTATTCCAAATAATACCCATATACTTTTGCATTCATTGGTATCCAAGGTCGCAATAAATTGAAATTTACCACAACCAATTCACAACCTAACTTTTAACTTACTGGTCCACATTACCCGCCAAGTTATTTTTATTCGCAGTTTTCAGTTTTTTTTTTTTAATATAATGCAGTAACATTTGTATAGTTAAATGTGTATTATGTTTGACCTGGAATATATTTAGACGACAAATCTACTATGCCGTGAAAACAATTTGTTTTAATTTTTTACCGTTGGTACGCCCACAATATCCAAAAAAGGAAATGGTGGTCCACATTACCCGAAGTTACACTACTAGAGGGGCAGTTTGTGTAATATTTTTTATTTATTTTTCTATTTTTATCCTTATCCAATGATTGTTACATTGTAGAGAGCGTGCAAACTATTAGTTTTAATGGAAAAAAAGAATAAGAAGCTATTATTATTAGGAGTACGGTGGGAATAGTTTCGATGGCTAAATAAATTGGACAGAAAAACACTTTAGGTTTCTAATGATGTTGTAGATTAATGCAGGTTCCATAGTGAGAACCCACTAGTCTGTGCTGTCTGTAGGACAGAACTGGAGAGCGACACAGCAGATGCTCAATTGTCTCCGTCTCCTTGTCGTCAGCACAGAGTCTGCAATAATCAGTAACATCATGGTCTCATTTACTGGTAAAGGCCCTGATATTGCAATGACCAGTAGTGACTCCTGTCATTACTCTAATTTCGGCTCTTGGTTGACAGTGTCGGCCAGATAGATCTTGACACATTGCACCTAGGTTCCTTGTGCCATAGTTCATAGGCTCGTTCGTCGAAGATCGCCTCAAAGTTCTGAAAAATATGACATATGGGTGGTTTGATTGAGCAATCGATTGCTAGATCAGTAGATTGAGATCCTCGTCTTGCTAATTCGTCTGCTTTTTCATTACCCATAATGTCACGGTGTCCTGGTACACAACACAGCCGATAGCTGTAAGTGAGCGTTTCCAAAACTGTTCTACACTCAAGGATGACCTCAGATTTCATATTAAAGGATTTTATGGTTTTAATAGCCGCCTGACTATCCACAAAGATAGTCACCGGTTCAACGATCTCTGCATCCAGACTTTTTATCAATTTCGCTGCCTTCCAAATAGAGAAGATTTTTGCTTGGAAAACACTACAGTTGCTATCCAGCTTGTAGGTAAGCTCAAGGCCTATCCTTTCGCAGCAGACGCCAGCCCCTGTACCTTCTTCCATCTTGGATCCTTCTTATAAAACAGCCAGACCGTCCAGACGAGTGTTGCTTCGGTTCCTCATGTCTCTACTTGGTATAACGACATCTATATCGTCAAATCTCAGGACTGGCGATATATAGTCGATTAGTTTTACTCGTTGGTCCAATGTCATACATAGTTCGTTATTTGTTAAAAAACTTTGACGTTTTTGGTGTATTCATAGGTTGGTACTGAAGGCGAAGTTTAAAAGCCGGTCCTCCCATCCCGATGCGATGGAAAATTGTTATACACAACTGTGTTGTCAGGGTATTATAGCTTTGTACAGACACAAAGTTTGTAACGCCGCGAAATATTGGCCCTAGACCCACCTTTAAGTATATCGATCGTCATATCTCGACTAGCTAATTCTAGATTTAGACATGTGTATCCGTCCGTCCGTCTGTCATTATAATTTGTAAACACGATATAGACCACAGTTATGGACCAATCTTCACGAAATTTTGCATGTAGGATGGGTTCTGCCCAATAAAGAACCTTTCGTTTTTGGTAAAGATGGGTAAATATTTAGGAGATAAAATGGACCAAATATTTAATTTTTGTCGGTTTTTCTGGTCACTCCAAAGCCGGCAATTGTGGCAGTATGAAATAAGTCCCCAAACAGAAAATAAAATTAATTTGGGAATTTATTTCATTATGAAATAAATCCCTAAAGAGTAATATGAAATAACTCCCCAACGAAATGAAGGAACTCCCCAAAATAAAATTAAATAAGTCCCTAAAATCGGGGACTTACGTATTCATATATTATTTAGTAACCCATTAGCATACTAGAAGGCGGAAATATAGCGCTATCGCTTTGAAATTTTCCATGAAGATCGAGGTATGTACAACGCCTATAATTTTTGGTGATGATCAGATAATAATATTGGGATGATGTGGACCGAAAACCTAATTTTTTGTGTTTTTGGAGTCGTTCTATAGACCACAATTGAAAGCCGAAACCCACAACACAACCCACGGTGAAGGGAATCTCGACAAGTAATTAGAAGAGCTGTACTGATATTAGTAATATCTGCAGCAGAATAAGCAGATAAGGCCACATTAAGAGTTTTTGAATATTGTTGATGTTGCCAAATGCTGCTGCAGGTCCAACTGTTTATATACAGAATTTTTACTAAACATTTTTTCAATTAGATCCTTTCTATGAACATTCAAAAACACAGTCCTTACGGTCCTTGATTCGAAATGATAGTATTGACTTTTCCCGCTACCTTACCGGGTCTCGTTGAAGTAACCGTTGCTTACAAGGGGGTTGCCTCACAAGGTTTCGGAAAGGCGACCATGATGCAACCCCCTTGTAAGCAACGGTCTTCAATGCGACTTAGACACTCTCTTGCCTTTGATTTTTTCCTGAAGATTTCATGGACATTTTTTCGAGTAAGAATTTGAGGCACTCGATCTTCCCCAAAACCGCATCCTATGGGCGCGTCCGATTTTCATATTTGCTCTCTCTGGGCTGGGAGGCATATGTGCTAAGTTAAAAACCTTCGTAGCAGATATCAATTATATCTACAGATCCACTGATTACTACATTAATGGTGATAATGAATCGAGCAGGACGATGGCGATCAAATTCTTAAAGAAGATTAAAACTCCTTTGTGTAGTTTGCAAGTACATGTTATATAGAGTAGAAGAAGATTTAGAAATGCTAGAACACGTTCGGATTTTTTTAGCTTGTTTTGAAATTTCATTTCATTTATTTCATACAATGTAATATAAAAAAGCCAGCATGGCCAATAACTTATATTAACTTATATAAAAAATCCAAACAAAGAATGAACTAAATAAATTAAAAATACATAACAGTAAAAAATTTCAGAAAATGTCCGGAAAATTACAAATATTGAGTACAAGCCTCATAAAAAAGTGTAATTTGGGATTTATGTGCATCGAGATGAGGAAAGCAACAATACACTCTAGTTTATATTTTGGTTGGCTTTGAAAAATTTTTTGAAATATTTTCAATTATTTCATTTTAGAATTATTTTTCATTTCCTGTCGCTGAACCAAATAAGTCCTTTTTATTTAAAGTATTCCCATCGTTCGTCCCCAAAGAGTCTCGTTTAGTTCCTAAATCGATCGGTTTAGGAAACCTTCAAACATAATTATTGGTTTTAAGATTATTTAATTAATTCAAATTCTTATTTTTACAGATGGTTTCATCCCACAATATCGGGCATCGAAGCTGAAAAATTGCTGTTGGAACAAGGTTTCGATGGTTCATTTTTGGCCCGTTTGTCCTCTTCAAATCCCGGTGCATTTACATTATCTGTACGAAGGGGTCAAGAAGTGACACACATAAAAATACAAAATAATGGTGATTTTTTCGATCTCTATGGAGGTAAGTTTTCGTAATCATTTTAATTTACAAATAAATATTAAACAATTATTCTTTATCTAATTCCCTAGGTGAAAAGTTTGCAACATTACCTGAATTGGTACAATATTATATGGAAAATGGTGAATTGAAAGAGAAAAATGGTCAGGTGATAGAATTAAAACAACCGCTCATATGTGCGGAACCCACAACAGAAAGGTGAGTGGGAAATTGTAATAAAAAATGACATTTTAATCTGGCGATAATCAAAAAGTTGAATGATGATGAAATAGAGGGTGAAAGTGAAAATGAAATTGAAATGCATTTAAATGTAATTAAGTGCATGTAATTATGGTCTAGGGAATTACAAAAAAATAATAGTTGTTAATTATTAAAATCCTCATAAATAAATACAAAACAAAAGTATGTCGAGTATTTCAAGGTCTGTCATCCATCTAACTATGTAAACGCATTGCCTTTATTGTGAGCTATTCAATTAAAAATTCCCCTCGAACAACTTTTCTTTTTTATTTAATTAGAAAGTATTTTTTTATTGATTTAAATCTATTTTATAAATAGCTATTATATCTCATAATTGATGTAGTAATTGAATTACGCATTCTTTGTTTTGTTAAGTATGAAGGTAATTATTATTGTTAATTCTATTATTTGTTAATATGTGCATATGTTCACATTTGGACTTTATTCCATAGCCAGGTGAAATGTGACGGCATAATTTAAATAAAAAAACTATATAATAGAATTTTATGAAGAGAAAGAATATTTTATTAGAAAAAAAAACTTAATTATCAGATTATAGATAGATGTCTTTATCAAAGATTTGCAGACCATTCAGTTTTAAATTATTTGTAATATGGGGATGTGGATTATTTGTTGTTTCCAGTTTAAATTTTTGATTTCATATTTCTTTAATAGTTGTGTATTGACTCCGAAATAATTGATTTTTTGTAGTATATTCAATTACGAATTAATAATTGTTACAGACAAATAATGCATCGTTTACAAATTATCGAAAACAAATTTAGGCGTGGGAGATAATTTTTTTAAAATGACAAACGTTTTTATTTCAAAAAAATTATAATTGTTTAAAAACAATTTGTTTTATTGAATAATAAACAATATGAAATATAAACACAGATTTTTTTATAGCACATTAAATAGAAAGTTGGGTTAAATGACCTCTATTCGATTGTGGTGTTTTTGTTTCGAAAGTACTTGTTTTTATTGTATTAATAATGATCAAGTGGTTGTACATTCGTGGGTGATTATTCGAGAATAGTCATATTATTTTGCAATAAACAAACTGAAAATACTCAACTAATATTATTTTGTAATAAACAATCATCCTGAAAGACGTTGTAAAGAGAGTAAGATGAAAATGAAAAAATGCGAAGGGAGAGGTTAGGGTTGGTAACTCAACCCACATGTCCTCTACTCTCTGAATCTCTGCTTGAAAAAAATCAACGTTACAATTTTCCTTTAGTTTGTAGGAATTCATAATTACTCCTAATATGCGCCTTCTTCGGATTATCTGTAAATATGGACAGTCCCTCTAGTATTTCTTCGACTCCCCGGCTCATTTCGTAAATTGAATGCTTCCGCTGCATAATGAGGTCGCATATTAGCCTAATATATAGAGCTGAAACAGAACACATATGTCTATAAAATTTGGTTTCTGCTGTACGAACATTAGAACAAAATCGGTGGTCAGTAATTGGCTATACTGCCCAATGTCACCTGGGCGATCTGCTAATAGAAAAAATTATGGATCGGTGGACTGATCCAAGTGAAAAGAACGGCTGGCCTTTAACGTCATTATACCCTTCACCGCTCTGTGGTGCAGGGTATTATATCTTTGCGCATATGTTTGAGAATATGCATAGAATCACTTTCTGAGTTGATTTATGCATGTCCGTCTGTTCATGTGTTCTTATGAACAATGTACAGGTCGCATTTATGATCCGATTTGTATGAAATTTGACACAAGTCACTAAGGACGAAACCTATTAAAATTGATCTAAGGACGAAACCTATTAAAATGGGGCAAATCGGTTCAGATTTAGAAATATTTCCCAATATTTATTATTATTTCTTTCTTTCAAAAAATGCAATTTAAAGCCTCAAAGGCCGATTGGTACAACATTTTACACAGTGTACTGAATTAAGCCCAGCTCAAGTTTTGTTGAAATTGGTTCAGATTTAGATATAGCTCACCTATATATTTTCGTCCGATTTTAGGTAAATGGTGCACCAAACTCCGAAGGTTTGTGTATGTAGGCCACAAATTTAATTTCACCTGATTCCATTTCAATGGTCTTTCAAAAATGCTATGCCTCTTCTATCTAAAGGATATTGTACATATTATCATCATATTGTACCCAAAGTGGTAAAGTGTATCGTACAGTCGGCCCGCCCGACTTTTGATCTTTCCTTACTGGTTTATTCTGGAACTCCACTTATGACTGTCCTTCACACCAATTTATTTCCTAACAATTCAAACTCGGCCTGAAAGAGGCTTTCCATTCATTTAGCCATTCATTCATTTTAGGCAGCGCGGCATACTATCGGTAAAAATAACTAACGCATATATTCTCATAATACTGATATCTCTTCATATATTTTTTCTAGAAGTTGGTAGCGACGTAGTTGTTGCCCCTAATTTACTCATGTTGTTGTTGCTGTCACAGCCCTATTGCTCTGTCGTTTCCACGACAGAGGGGTTTACGATCAGAAAAGACCCGAGTCTTACTCGGCCAACGTCTGTTGAAATTCCGATAGAGTTCGGAATATTTAAGATGCTTGGTATTGGAATTAAAATATATCGGTCCAATTAGGAGGTAGGAGGTTATCGGTCCATATGAACTTCCAAATTTCGGTAGGTTGTCAAATCATCCATCTAAATCTAATCTAATCTAAACCCATATAAAAACCCAATTGATTTTACATGTATATTTTGAATGTCCAGCTTTTTTAAACGTAAAGTTCACATTTTTTTAAATTGGAATGTGGAAACTAGTTGTTATTGTAACAGTTTAACTGTGTGTGAAACTTCTTTCCTGAAAATATTGTTAGAAAATAGAAAATATATTAATTATCAATTAGGAATTAGAATTTGAAGAGGGTAACCGGAGAAATTATGCCACTTTTATTGGCTTTAACCATAAGTCTATAGGCAATTGACTTGTAGGCTAGGACGGAAAATTAAATGTGCCAGAATCGAACGGGTTTGCCTAGGAAGAAACTTCTTACTGTCCGAAATTGCAGGAGGATGTTGGAGTAGGACTTTATTGTATCTTCAGCCATTTATGGCTTTGGAGACTGCCAGTTGTTGCATGGATTTCATCGTGCCAATGTACACCTTTTTCGCTGTAGTCTGACAACTGGGTTAATTTGAGCCTGTTGCAAATAAATGCATAAAAATGTGTCATTATCAGGAGTTACTTTAAAAATCTGCTGTGTCAAAAGTTACGGTGAGGCTGATTTTGAGAAGGGGATTCCAGAAGGCTTCCGTACTCTGATTACGGCTCCAATTAAGGATTTGGATGTGTTCCTATTGGCACTGTACTGCAGCTACGCTAGTCAATGCAATATTTTTCGTGTAGTAAGACACATGTGATTATTCGGAACAGGACTCCATGTACCGAAAATAATATAGAAGCACAATGGCAAAAAATTGCCCACTACCTACAAGCTGCTACAATAGCAACAATTGGATACCAAAGACCACCATCAAGAAACCCATGCCCAATGATTGGAACCTCAGAATAACGTGTCCCGTGCACAAAAAAGGAGACAAGACAATATGTGCCAACTATAGAGGAATTAGTATTCTTCCCATCGCATATAATGATCTATCCAGCGTGCTGTATAACCGACTGAAGCTAAGGTTCAATTACATTCTTGGACCATACCAATGCGACTTTAGACCTGGCAAATCCAACATAGACCAGATTTTTGCACTGCGCCAAATCCTGGAAAAGATCTACGAAAAATACATCGACACGATGTTTGGAATTACTGCAAAATTAATACGTTTAGCAGGATAACTTTAACTGGAATAAGGTCAGCAGTTAATGTTGGAAAACAGCGTCCAGAGCCCATCAATACCGAACGAGGATTCAGACAAGGTGACAGTTTGTCGGATGACTGTTTAACATCCTGCTGGAAAATGTCATACGAGATGCAAATGTGAACAGAAATGACGCTCTGTACACCAAACTACACATGTTATTCGCCTACGTCGACGACATCGACATAAAGGGTCGAACATTGCGAGTGGTAACAGCCATCTTTGAACGAATTGAGAAGAAGTCAGCCGAAGTGGGTCTGGCAGTAAATGGTGAGAAGACCAAGCTGACGGTATAACGCACAAGCTTCGAGGTAGTGAACGATTGTATATACCTCGGTACCGCTATAAACAAAACTAATAACATCAGCTTTGAAATCCGGAGAAGTATTGTGCTGACCAACATATGCTACTATGTCCTGAGTAAGCTATTCAAGAACAAGGCCACCTCGCCATACCAAACTAAAACTCTACAAGACGCTCATACTACTCGTGCTGTTATATGGATCTGAAGCATGGGTACTTGCGTAAGCAGATGAGACAGCTCTTGGAGTGTTTGAGAGAAAAATTCTTCGGAAGATCTATGGGCCAACCTGCGACCATCTATTCTCGGACATCGACATAGTCAGGCGTATCCAGCTGTAGCAACTACTTTGGGTAGGTCATGTCGTTAGAATGGATGAGGATGCCCAGCTCAAATGACATATTCACAACATCACGGAACATGGGTTTTAAATTGGATAAGCCGCGCGCAAAACCGACGTGCCTGGAAATCTTTTTTTAAGCTCGCCTTATGGAACAAACGTTCTGTCACAAGCCAGCTAATTAAGTAACATGAATTACATCCCTTCCTTGTACCCGAAACTGACCTGTAATATTTTAATGTTTTACCACACCGATAAGAGCGACGTTTCGTTTGTTTCATTATGGGACAGATTAAGAGAGCCTGAGTCTAAAATGAAGTTATTGTTGGTTCGAACCAATTCCGCACCAATTATTGTTGTAGCATCCGTACTTTTGTTAGAAAACGCTTGATAGCCATTATTTTCCTCTGTTCGTTTGCTGCAATTTTTATACCCTCCACCGTCCGTCTGTTGTAATCACGATATCTTCTGAAGGAATTGAGATAGGG